TATTATTATATTTACTATTGCTATTATATGAGATACATAGTAATTATAATATTAATAATTAAATAATTAGATTAATTTAGTAATAAGAAGAGGGGTTTGATGGGGATATCTATATTAGGGGTCTAAAAGAGAGAAGAGGTTTTGATTATTCTGGTCAATCGTAGAAAATGATAGAAGAAGCAAAAGAGAGAAGAAGAGGAAGAGAATTAGGAAGCTAGAGCAAGGGATTTCACCTTAGAGATTTTGAATCGTTAATTCAAGGTAAGGGTGGGGTTCTGACTCTCTAATAGGTGGTATAATTGTAGATAAATGAATGTTTGATTGTTAGGTTTTGGGTGTAGATTAGCTGTTAGATTGATTGTGGTAATTGATTGTAATTGATGAAATTGATGTAATCTTTATGTTACAATTGTGCCATATAATTTGTGTTGATTATTACAAACAATTGATGTGTTTAAGTATGTCTCAAAAGTGATTTTTAGATGAAAAGAATGAATTTTCGTAGCAGAAAATTGCAGTTTTGGGGACTGTCAGAGTTGGGTACCTGGGTACCTAGTTATGGTTACCGGTTACCACAATAAATTTTGGAAAAATAAGCTATTGTATTACGCAGTAACCTATTACCATAACTGGGTAACCGGTTACCGCTGAAGCTGACAGAATTTTTGGAAACTTTGAAAAATCATAACTTTCGTCTCAAGTGTTCGTTTGACGCACCGTTTGGATTGTTGAGAAGCTAAAAACATTTTCTATAATGTGATAATAATTTTGATAAAAGTAGGTGAATTATTTTTGGGTTGTACACTTATGCCTTGGGTGCAGTGTCAGTTGCAGTATGTTGTTATTGTTGGTAAATTTTGTAAAACTTCAAAAATTTATAACTCGAGTGTCGGGTATTTGACTCACGTGTAGTTAGGATCATTGGAATACTGGGTTAATTTAATTTCTCTTAAAAATGTTTTCAGTACCATAATTCTAACTGTTTGAGGCGCAGCCGGGTGTTTCGTATTGTCAAGTTATATCGTTTTGGTAAAATGTAGGCAAATGCTTTGTATAGTTGATTAATTGGAATTGTCCTATTTTAATGATGAATTATTATCGTCATGAAATTAATCATGAGGATTTTGGTGTTGATGTGATGTGATATTTTCTATCTTATGATGATTACCTTGGTGAAGGCTTATGCCTTGTGTGTTAATGTTGTATGAAGTGTGATGCATATTATTGTGATTGAACGTGATGGTGTTGTACGAATGATGTAAGAATAAATTGCATAATATATTGAAATATGGAGAAGATGTTGTTACTGGTCTGGAATTAGTATGATGTTGATGGTTATGCTTGTGATTTCATAATTTTGATTGTGGAATGTCGCATTTCATGCAACATTGAGGGCTTATGTTTTGGCCTGTATTGGCAACTTATTGAGGGCTTATGCTCTGGCCTGTATTGGAAATTATTGAGGGCTTATACCCTGGCCTTATATGGTAATTTGTTGGGAGAGGGATTATGCCTTGATGGTACCACATGCATCTTGCATCGGAGTCAGCTGTACTGCATTTGTTGAATTGTTAAATTATTGAATTGTTGAGTTGCACGTATGATGATTATCGAACTTGAAATCTTGCATGATATACCTGTTGTTTACTCATGATTATATGACTTATTATATTGTCACGATATCTCACCCTTACTATTTGAATGTTTCCTCTACGTGGGTAACGTGCAGATAATCAGGAGTAGTGCAAAGTAGTGAAGTCTAGAAGAGGTTGCTCTTCTTATTTTGAGTTGGTGTCATTGCTCTGATTCATAACACCGGGGGATAAACGTTTGCTTGTTTTATTTAGTTGATGTTTTTATTTTGGAGTATTGTGGGATTACTATAGATTCTATTTTATTTGATTAAAAATATTGTTTTACGATGAGTTGAAGATGTTGAAAACAATTTATGAATTTGTTTCCGCTGCATTAATAAAGTTGAAGTTTGAAGACTATGTTGAAATATTGTCAGTTCATCCTAAATATGTGTTATGTATCCGTTTAATTATAATTGAGCAAAGTTTGAATATATTGAATGATGCGACATCCTATTCTTGGGGTTTTATTTTACTCTTATTTTTATCAAAATTACCGTTGGAGAAATAGGGTGTTACACCTCCAGTGTCACCTTACATAGGTCGTGTCAGGAGAGGATGCACAACTGTAGTTTAGGAGAAGAGGCAGAGGCTGACACGGGTGCCCGTGTCAACTGACACGACCCGTGTCAGAAGGTCTGGGCGAGAGACTTTGTGGAGCGATGGACAGAGGCCAACATGGGTGCCCGTGTCAGGTGACACGACCCATGTTGGCCAGGACGTTGATTTTGAGCGTCTTTATATTTTTTTTATGATTTGAGACACAGAGGGGCGTTTTGGGCATTTCCGACCGAGACAAATGTATTATTCACTATTTAGATGAGTTTTGAAGAAGAATTAGGGACTTTTTTTTTACAGAGAACGAAATCCAGAGTCTAGGAGTGAGGATGTGAGATTCTTGAAGAACAAAGATCTTTCATGAGCGGATGCGATTGAAGACCAAAGTTTCTTCACCATCTGTAATGTCTAATTCTTATATTTTTGTAATTCTCGTGAACAATATGAACGACTAAACCCCTCAATGCTAGGGGTGTCCCTGATTTGGATATGTAATGATTATGAATTCATGAGTTCTTTAACAAAATTGTTTTCTTATTCAATTTAATCGTGCAATGTTTTTATGTTTTTCTGATCGGACCAATTAGGATTGATTTACGGTTAACAACCAGCTGGACCGTGGTTGTTAAGGTTTTTGTATGAGTAGATTATAGTAGATATCACCTAAGACTAGGGATACCTTGTAGTTACCGAATCACACTTGATAAAGTAAAAGCTTGACTCCATCAGATATCTCTAAGGACTTATGATTTAGGATGGATGGTTAAAGATTTTCTCACTAAGGAATTAGGGGAAATACTCTAAAGGGCTGGTAGTTGAATATTATGAACTTATTGAAAAAATCAGGATTCAATGTCATTATAGAGAAAATTACACACCACACCCTAACATGTTCATCATATCTGTGAAAAAGCATATTTATATTTCTGCTTATAATTCAGTGACAATTTCTAAAACCAAAACCCCAAGTTAAGTTTTTGTTTAATTGAACCACACATTTAACTTGATAATTTTGTGCAGTCCTTGAGATCAAAATTCAGGGAATTTCCCTATTATTACAAAGGGAAAAAATAATACACTTATTATTTTTCCTATCATTAGGCTTTAACAATTAAATGTGTAACTCTTATGTTATTACAGTACACTTTGTATTTTTCCTATTATTAGACTTTAGTAATTAAATATGTATCTCTTATGTTATTATAGTGTAACAATTTTATAGTTTTAGAACAAAAGGGAGAAATAAAGGTTTAGGGAATTCCAATGGAAAACTTAGAAAGAGAAGGTTTTTTGGGAAACCTTTGAAGTTATCTAAGGGTATTGGGAAATACTTTTAAATACATTGGATTTATGTGATTACTATATTGAGAGTTGGAGAGATTGGAAAACACTTGCGTACAAAACAGGGTTTGTTCTTAAGAACATGGAATGTTATTTTCTTGTAAATGTTAAATTGTAATTCATATGTGTCAAAGAAGATTTGATTTGTTTTAGATTTAAATAGATTTGATTTAAGTCTAGAATAGATTTGATTAGATTTGATTTAGTAAAAAGATATTTTGGGCCTTGGGCTTAGGATGTAAGCTCAGTTATAAATAGAGGGAGTAACCCCTATTTTGAAAGTAAGTCAAGCAAGACAATTCATTGTAATCACAGAATTTGCAGTTGCAAGTGATTAAGAAAGTTTTCCACAGTTTGTGGGCAGAGAGAAACTCTGCAGAAATATTTATCTTGTCTTCTTTTATTTGTTTTTCTCATAACTAATCATCATTGTGGTCGAAATTCATCATAGTATTTGGTGGATTTCCAACAGTAACTCATTTGTAATCGCTTATAACAACTTTTGTAGTATAGTGAATTGGAGAGTTGTTCTCTCCTCTAGACGTAGATCATTTGATTGAACTGCATAAACAAACTTTTTATGTTTCTCACCTTATATATCTTATTATGAAAAATCCACTGTCTTACTAGTTATTATTATTGAAGATCATTTATTTTGGTTGCTACTATTATTTCTCTCTACACATCAAATTTTTTTATATGAATTAAATTTTATTATTTTCACAACACATACTATGATTCCTAAGTTAGACGATGTGCTAGCAAATAATATACAATTGAATTGATAATATGGTCATATCTCATGGACGAGACCTATATTTATAGAGTGATCAGATTTTGATACACTCCAAATAATTTTAATTCTAATTGACAATCTCAGGGACCATTAATAGACCAATGTAGGTATATTAACGTAACTGACTCCGATTAAGTCTATATACACTCTATGTAACTTGAAATGGTGCTAATAGCCCAATACTTTTAGATGCTTAATTAATAGAGACAGATCAACTCATAAGAATAATTAAGAATGTGGATCACATTGTATCATCATGTGGCATCGAGTTGGAGACCTCAAAAAATAGCTCTAAGCCTCATTATTCAATTTGCTTAATATTCTAAAGTGCAAACTTCTTTAATAAACATATTTTAGGCAGGAAGGACTACTTAGACTCATATTGTCACAAGTTGTATGAATTCTTGTACATATAGACTTTATATAATAAATATTTTTAAAAAAATAAAAGTAAATCCAATAAATAATCATGCAATTTATTTAGTGAACAAATGGTTAAACCAAAGTCTCACTATCTATATAGTATTGATCAATTATTAAAATTTTAATTCACATGTTATATAGTTACATTTCAATCTTTAATATGAATATGATAATGAAACTAACTTTTTGTAATTTACAACAATAATTGACACAAGATAAGAATGAATGACTATTTTGAAATGCAAAACATAAAAGGAAACGATTTAAAAAACGGATATTTCGTGAAAGATTGAAACGTGTGGTAAGAATGAAATCACTTACCCTTTGGCATCGCCATTGGGAAAGAGAGAAAAATTGTGACTTGGTCACTGCATTCTTTCTCCAATCATATCTTACTCTCTTTTCTCTCCCATTTGAACACTTCATCAAACACATGGTGCCCTCACTCTTCATCACAATACTAGATATTCTCTACTTGCAAAGATTGGATTTTTCCACATTATTTGCCTCTGGTCCCTCCATTACTATTACCCCATTTTCCCTTTCAAATTTACTTCTCACTTTTTTCTTCTTTCTACTCATTCATATACTTTTGCCTCCATTTGTTATATACTCTTTCTTTATACCTTAACTAATTTCATTTGGTTATTATTATAATTGGTTGGTTTTCAGTTATAAAGTTTGGTTTTTGAGAAATGGGGTGTCTTTGAATCTGTGTTTTTTTTTCTTAGCATTTCTCTCATGTGTTCTCCTTCATTATTGGTAATGTACAATCATAAAAACTGTTTCATGGAAGCTGGTTAATGTTGAATATGTGTTGCCCCTTGATTTGTTTTTATAGGGTTGTTTTATTAAGGGTATTCCCCAGCGCAATTGTAACTGCAGAGACTAATTCCTCGAGGTGACTGAGATCTATTTATATACCCTATTGTAGATTCTATGTGAAAGGAATGGACATTACATGTTTTGTAAATGATAAGAAGTTTTTTGTGAGTGGATAGAGTGTGGAAAGAAGAGTAGAATGAAAGGGGCAATTGATGAGGGAAAGGATATAAGTCCAATGTTCCCTAGGTTGCATGTGAAGGATGCAGAGAAAGGAGGGCCAAAAGCACCTCCAAGGAATAAGATGGCTCTATATGAACAATTTAGCATTCCTTCACAAAGTATTGCAGCAGGAGGACCAGGTTCTGGATCCTTGTTTTCTCTTCCTTTAAGAAACTGCACAGTTCCTACAACATCAAGCCATGTGAGTCTTCTAATAGTTTTTTTTTTTTACATTTCACCATGTAATCAATTCTTGTACCATCTTATGAGTCTTATATTTCACTTATTTTCATAGATAGAATGGAACTTGCTTTTTTTATACTATCACTATCTCTTTTATACACTAAGGAAAAAGTTAAAGACTTTTGGTAGGAGTTATTAAGCTTGATAGGTATTAAGTTGCATGAAATGAAATTGTCACTAGAAGAAAATATAAGTTTTTTATGTATAGTTTTGTTGGGTATGCCTCATTGTTCACTTTTATGTACCCTTTGGGGTTGGCCCAAACGTTTGTTGTTAGACTGCGACTGTTCCCTCGACGGTACGGTTTAGAGATAATCTTGTGAACCAGACCGAACCATAGAAACACTAGTTGTATTTTGTAAACCTTAAACTTGAATAATAGAAATATACTGCAGCGGCTATCCACTTGGCGACGTAGACGCAACTTGTCGAACTCCGTTATCAAATGTCGTGTTGGATGTATGGTAACTGGTAAGACTAGACAAGATAAGATTAGAAATGATAATATTAGATAGTGTTGGGATAGTTCCTAGAAAAGATGGTGGAAAATAGATTCAGGTGATTTAGGCATGCAAAGAGAAGATATGTAGATTTTGTGGTAAGAATAGTAGATGAGTTGAAGAAGAGTCAAACATTAGATGTAGAGTTAGAGGTAGAGGAAGAACTAGAAAAACTCAAGATTAATGATTTGGATAGAAACATGATCTTAGATAGAACATTATGGTGGATGTTTTTTTTTATAAGCATTACGGTGGGAGTTGATCTAAGTAGTCGACCTTACTTGGTGAAATAAAGTTTGGTTGTTATTGTTGTACTGTTGAACCATGTTGTTGTTTAACAATATTTGTATATGAATGTTGGCTTTTTTTAAAACATAATTCTAGTAATAATAATACTTAGTAATAAGAACTACTGAAGCTTTATCTTTTGGTTATTCTATTTACACTAGTTGTGATGTTTATACTGTTTTGCAGCTTGGTTATAATGAAAGCATCAAGTTCTGCAGCTCCAAATCCAATGCAATTTCTATTCTATCTGAGAAGACTCAAGCCTATAATTCAAGAAAGATTAACTTAACGAAGTTGACAGTGAGTCATGACTTAGAACACATGAAACCTGCAAAACAAATTGCCAAACTTCAGCAAGATAATTACATCAATAGTAGTAAGAGTTCTCTTAAAACACTTGATGGTGAAGATGCTCATATAACTCCCAGTTCTGTTCATGTAAAAAGTTCATTTTATGGTGGCGTCGTCCAAAATGAAAAAGATGAAGACAAACTTGCTCGCTGCAATTTGAGCTTTTCGTTTAAAAGTCTAAATTCATTTGGAAAGGTGATGAATTCATCTGGAGCCATAGGGCTGAAATCACCCCAGTATGGGAAGAACCAAATGGAAGAGCATAAAGATGTGAGTCAAATTGATCGAAAGGCAAAGGAAAAATCTCCTCACTCATTAAATGGTTTTGACGAAACAACAAATGAATCGTCAAACTCATCGGCTAAATATACGAATTCTAAATCAATGAAAGAAGAAATTAAAAGTGTTTCAGTAGATAGCTTGAAAACATTGCAAGGTAGCAATGGTCATAGACATGAAGATCATGCAGCTTTTGTAGACAAAAACAACTTCAGAGATCATTGCATGGAGAAGCCAGCAATGAGTGATGTCCAAAAATGTTCTGGTGAGTTAGAAATCGGTAGAAGGTCCTTACATGGAAAGGGAGAGAGGAGTCGAGGTGAGGAGACTAGTAGAAATTATGAAGCCTTGAATAAATCAAGCTCAGAATGTAGGTTTGGTCTGGATATCATCCCTGACGATGTCGTAGGACTAATAGGTGAAAAGCAATTTTGGAAAACAAGAAAAACTATCATCAAGTAAGTTTATCTGTTTAGTATTATGTGTTTATGATTTGTACTTTCTCTCTTTTTTGTTTATACTGAGTTTAATGTTAATTTACATGTGTAACCTGTAAGTTTCTGAATCTTCTACTATACTACTGGTCGCTATGATTACCCCAAAATTGTCTCTTCATTCACCAAGTTCTGTTAACTAATTAATTACACTACTTTTATAGGAATAGTCAAACTTGGAGACCAAGGAACACACATATGAAGTCCTCCACTAAATAACTATCTTCCAAATTGACATACATAAACCCCATCAAACATCAATACCTTAAGGGTGATCCTGAAAATATGCTCCATAGATAGATCTAACTAATTGAAGACATAATCCTAAATTTACGGAAGTAACCTCATCCTTATGAGAATTTTGAGTATAATTGTAACAACCCAGTATACTAATTTTAAGTCCTAACGCCAATTGAGGTTTGTGCAATTAGTAAGGAGTTTATTCATACACTGCAAGGGCGTTGATTCAACTCCCTCTGCCTACGTAAGGATGTGATGCGTAGTCTCTAAGCACCTTTGTTAGTGCTCTTTAAACTTTGAGGTCTGTCGTGATTCTGGTGAGTTTTCGGAGTCCAACTCACCTAAACTTTATAGAATACTTCATGAAAATTTTGTAATAGATCTATGCATGAATGAAGGAACATATTAGATCTACAAAGTTTAGGGGAGTTGGGAAACCTCACTTTCCAACAAGATCCATCCTCCTTGAAGTCTGACATTTCTGAAATCGTAACGCAGATTGAATCATGTGAACTATTTCTTGAAGTACTCATATTACACACATTTGTTTATTTTAAATGTCTGTATTCTTCTCCTGACATGAACCTGGCTCTGATTTTGCTATATTCAGTCAACAGAGAATCTTCTTCACGCAAGTGTTTGAGTTACATAGACTTATCAAGGTAATGTCCATACTGTATATTAATTGATTGTTTGCTCTGTTGAATATGGGCTTTGCTTTCATATGAGAAGTGACTAAACATATCTTAAAAGCAGGTCCAAAGATTAATTGCAGGATCACCTAATCTATTGTTTGAAGACAACCTTCTACTTAACAAACCACCAACGAAAACATCCTCCTCCGAAAAACTACAATCTGACTTTATCGGTGAACAACATTTGACCGTTTTTAAACATGACAGCAAGTTCGACAAAGCCTCTACGTCCGAGGATGTTAAAATCAGTGCAGTTGGGAACATTCCCTTTCCTTGTGTGAACAACATAAGCAAAGAACATAATCGGCTTTCATATTATGGCAATCATCATTTAGGAAATCTTGCATTAGCCTCTGCAGATAAAAATTCAAATTCCATTTCCATTTCCAAACAACCCTCAAGCATTGTATACCCTCCGCCGCCAAACCAATGGTTAGTTCCTGTCATGTCTCCATCTGAAGGTCTTGTATATAAGCCAATCATTGGACCATGCCCTCCAAATGCCGGTGGCATCATGGCACCACTTTACGGTGCTTGTGGTGCATTGAGCTTGAATCCAGGAACCAAAGATGTTTTAGAGCCATCTCTTACAAGTTTTCATCAAAAGATTGGAATCCTTTCTGGTTCATCATTACCACAACTGTTACCACCATGCGTTCCTTCTTTCATGCATAGATCTATATCAGCTTCATCTGTTGAACAAATGGGACAATCTAGTGGTCCTAAAAATCATCACTCATATGCCGAACTCAATTCAGCAATATTGTACCAGAGTCCTTCAAACATGTCTACTCAGATAAGCCAAGTAATGTCAAGAAATATTTCAACTTATCAATCATTGGAAGATAATAAAGAATTACAGGCAAGTACAGCCAGTAGTCCATCCAAGAGAATGAAAGGAGATGAACTTCCTTTATTTCCACTGGCTCCGACATTTTGGTCATCGCCAGATCGCGACTCGCATGTTGAACATCAGTCAAAAGTAATCAAAGCTCTTCCTCATAATAAAAAATCAGCAAGTGAATCAGCAGCCAAGATATTCATGTCAATACAAGATGAAAGGAAACTTTTGTAACTAGTTTCTATATATAATATGTCTAATAAAGCAAGATACTGTAATTTGAAACTATACCTTGACACTAACAATGTATCTATAGATTGATAACAATACTTAAGGCTTTTGGAGAGAAATGAAGAAGAAGCAAACTTGGAGAAGCTGGAGAAGGATTGTAAATTCATGGTAAAATGCCATTACAAATGAATTCATGTATCAACCATTGTTGTGAGCACCCAATTTTGGGTCTTGATCAAATAAAGTTCATTTCATTTTCATGCAAATTTTCAAATTCTTAGTTTTTTTTTTTAGATTACCCTTTATTTTTAGGTTTAAATATGTTTTTTTATCCCCTCAAATATATCATTTTTTTTTATTTTAGTCTCTAATTTTTGTTTTGTTTTGTTTTGATTCTCGAAAATATGTCATTTTATTATATTGGAATCATCTCAATAATCTATATGTAATATTCTTTTAAAACCTTGTCATTAATATTGGAGAAATTAAAATAAAATATTCTACATATTATCAAAATTAATTTTAATATAAATCAATGGCTAAATCAAAAAAATAAATATTTAGGGCAAAATAATAAATATGTTGGAAGCTAAGATTAGGCATGACAACATAATTTGTAACCGCAGATTCGAGTTTGTTCTGAATTTGAAGTGAAAAACTCTATTTTACTGGGTTTAGGTTTGAGTTTAGATTTTTTCCGATTATAAAATATAGGGATGAGTCGAATAATGGATATACTAATATCCATATTGTTTATTTTATTATGTACTTTATTATTTAGTTTTGACAATTTAGAATATTAAATACGTGGTTAATGTATTAATATTTTGATTTATATTTATTATTTAAAATATTTGAAATGTATGGATGAAATATTTTGAGATTATTTTATTTTATTATTTGTAATGTAACTTAACTTTGAAAATAAATATTTATATTAAAAAACTTGATTTCACTAAATGGATGGTGGTTAAACGAAGATATTCGAACCCAACCTAAAATCTGGTTGGATGAATTTGAGTTTTAGTTATTCATCCTTGATAGAAATTGGGGCGGGGAATAGAGATTATTTGGGGATTTGTGTTTAGAAATGGGAAACAGTCTCTGATCTGCCTCGTTGTCATTCCTATATAAGATAATTGTGTGGAATGAGCCTTCGTTGGTTCTTACTCGATTCAATTAGACGCCGGGAGACAAGAAAAAAGTGAGTGCATGTCCTTAATTTTTATCTTCCCAGTAGTCTTCCATATGACAACCTAGGGGTAGTAGCATGATGGACTTTCCCTAGACCTCTTATAATGGGTTTTATAGGAACTAGTTTTGCCATAATGATAATGACACCGCTCTTGGCCACGTGTATCATATCTGTCAGCTGATGTTCATTCTTCCACTATGTTTGTACTTCCAATTTTGGGGTCTTCGCTCTTTCACACTTCCTTTTCTACCAGTATAAATACTTTAAAGGGTTAAGTTTTTTAACTTTTCACTATTTTCCACTCACATACTCTTTGCGATTGTTTGAATTACATTGTTGCTCTCTGCTGTTGCATTTGCGATTTTCTCCCCGCTTCTCTTTGTCTCCTTCATCTTCTCTAACTCTGGTAAGTCTCCATTGTCTGGTGATTTTGCGGAAGGGATAGTGAGCATGTGAGATTTTCATCTTCACCTCTTACTTTCTTATATGTGTATCTAGATAAATGAGTTTCATCTTCACCCATGTTTGATGTGGTTTTTAGATAAATGAGTTTCTTCCTTTCTATTACCCTTTTTGAACAAGAGGTTCTCCGCTATCTGGTTGTGGTGCCTTCATAGTTACATCCCAATTATTGGTCATTCCTACCAGCCTTCCAATTGATGTGTAGATATTTGGATCGGGAGGCTTTTGTTGAGATTTTCTTTCACATCTTGCATGTTGGTTGTGAAGGTTTTTATTCCCCTTTTAGTTTGGTACATTTCAAATAGTCTTTGAGACTGTTCAACTCTTTTACCGATTCTTTGAAGAATTTTAAATTTCGTTTTGTGGTGGTAAGACTAGTTACAACTAATTCTCGTTCCAATCTATGTGACTATGAAAAGGGGTCTTCAAATGTTGGTTAGAGTCATGACATCTATGGTCGGGGGAAGTTAGATCTTACTTTTAAATTGTTCGATCTTTCTTGAGAAGAAAGGGAGAGCCAAGCCATCATTAAGGGTTATGCTGGTGGTTTCGGTAGTATTTACTTACACGATCGTAAACCTAAGACTCACATATTGAGCTATTGTCGTGTGATTACCCAATATTTAGTTTTGGTTGTATATTGGGAAGAGGTCAAGAACTTAATGGTTGTGTTTGTTAATTTCCTTGCATTTCTTATGTTTTAACCTTTTACAGACTGATTGATAAATTTTGATCTCCTTTTGGCAGATATAATGGTGTCTTCTGAATTGGTCAATAGTTGAAAGAAGTATCGCTCTCAAATGGAAAGGAGGGTTGTTGAAGCCAAGTTTCTCTGTGAAGGCTTAACTTCTAGTGATGTGGGAAGTCTCTCATATGTAGTATAAAGAAAAACATTAAATTACGGAAATTAAAATTCTACGCTATTACAGAGCTTTCGGGGATGGGAAATACAAATTTACAAATAGGGATGGATCAAATCGTCAATGCGATTAAAAGTCTAAATAAACAATCAATACAACCCAATCGAAATGAAAATAAACAGTTAATTAAACTAAAACAAACTAATAAATAAAATTAATTAGTGAAATAATTAATAATATCAAAATAATGTTTTTTGTGGTTTTTATCTTGAGGAAAATTAAGAGAAAATTAATATTAAGAAAGGACTATCAAAACAATTAATAATAATTAACTAAAATAAATTGAAAATTCCAGGGAGGTGCAAGAATTCTAGGGCGTGTGTTCAGCAATTCGTATGGGTTGAGTTAAGGAGGAAAGGCCCAAATGGCTTTGCTGATTTAAAAAATAAAAAGATGGGGGTGTGATTAAGTAACTCGGGTTGGGCTGCGAATTGGGGAATGGGGCAGAATTAATTATTGTTGTTGTTTCCAATCAACAAAACAATTAAAAGAAGAAGAAAATGGAAACAACAAAAAAGAAAACGATCCTCTCTCCTTCTCTCTGCTAAACCGTCATCTTCCTCTTCTAATTCCTCTCATCTGTAGCAGCATCATCACCTTCTACCACTCTCTCGATTTTCCCATTCTTATTCTCAGAGCTCAAAAACAAACCCTAACTACGGTGATCCCGCGGCGGCCAGCGAAGGTTTTACGGCGGCATCACCTCGAAACAAAAAGTGTTCAACCCCAACCTCCCTTGATCTTTCTCGACGAGTCCAAATTCAAAGGTGAATTTCTCAGATTCTCAAAGATATGGCCGGATCGAGCTTCACAAATCCAAAATTGTTAAACGGAGATGGAGGATAAAGTGATGGTTTTGAACACTCTTGGCTGCTGCCTTAATTCCTTTCTGATACAGTTTTTTGTGTTGCCATTTTAGTGCAACTCTTGGGTAGATTTTGGACTGTTATACTCAGACTTGTTTGGACTATTTTTGACAGAATTTGTGCAGGGAAGCAAGTCTTTTTGGACAGTGGTTCTTGGACTGTTTCTGTTTTTTGATAGAATTTATGGTTTGCTGTAACTTTGTGATTTTCTTTATACACCTCTTTCCTTTTGTGAACCAAGGTTCACCTTTGTGATTTGCAAAAGTCCTACTCCTAGCCAATGATGGAATTCTGACTTATTAGACTTGTACAATTCTGTTTTGTCTTGTTTGTGAACCAAGCTTAGGTTTGTGATTTACAATGATATCTTTAGGCCAATGATAGGACAATGTCTTAAGGCCTTTGTTGGGCTTGAATTCTTGACTTGTGATGCTGCTGTTTTGAATTTTGAATTTTGCATTTGTCTATTGTGAACCAAGTCAATTGTGATTTGAAATATCCTTAGGCCCATGATTAAATCCATTTTTATAAGGTTGTTTTGGCATAAAAACATGGCTGAGAAACACCTTTTTCTAATTCCATAAACCAACCCTAATGATGAGTTTAAAATAAATTGTAATTTTTGTTCACTTTGAATTGCTACTAACTCTTGTTTTCGTTTGGTTTCATGTATGGTTGATGAGGAATGAATGAAGATGACAAAGCACATTTGAAGAAGAGGATTTGGCTTGACATAAAAGCTTGGAGGAAATTCGAAAAAGTGAAGGAGTAGAACCTTAGGATTTTAGAAAGTTTAGGAATTTGAGTTGGATTTTTTTTAAAGACAAACTTGTATTTGAATTTAACTTTGTAATTATTTTGAATGTATTTGGATAATAACTTTGCAAAATGTATTGAATGACATTTGAACAATGAAGTGAAACTTTGTAGAAGCATTTTGAAGAATAAGTGATTTGAATGAAGATTGAAATTTAGCTTTGGTCAAAATGGATGATGAAATAATGATATGGATTTAGGTGAACATATTGATGTATGAACCTTGATGCCTTTTGATTAACTCGGACCCATTAAGAGCTTGAATGAATACTTCCACCATGGAATCCAAATTCAATTTAACTTTTAAATTTGAACTCCAATCTTTCAATCTTGCTTGAATCAAATTCTTGAAAACAAACCAATGCTTAAGATATTTAATTCAATTTGATTATTCTCTAAACACTCCACTTCAAGACTTAATGAACGAATTCCAACCAAATTTTCATCTTCAATGAACTCATTCATATCTTGTACCATGGCCCACAGTTTAGCAAATCAGTCCACCAAACATCTTAACTTTAAAACCCATGACCTCACACGAAGATCGTGTCCTTGAGGAACTCCTTGATAGTGAATATGGAAATATGGGAGAAGTATAGCCCAGATAGCCTTGGAATGAAAGTTCAATGAACCTCAGTTGAAGCATAAATATTGCAACCCTAATCTTGTAATCCTTGGAGAGGAAAACCTTTCTACTTGATATTGAGAAGAACCGAATGGCCATGTAGCTTGATAAAGACGAAA